GAAAAACCAGGGGCAGCACAGACAGGTACAGAACAGTCATATAGCCAGAAAAGATAGTGTGGCAAGAGTATTTAAAACAATCACAGCACAGTCCCTCATACAAGTGAAGGACTTGTGTTTGCACCAATTGCAAGTCTTCTGCTGGACAACCAAGGGAAGTAATCTCCTTCTGGCCTGGGTGAAAATGACTGTAGGGTCAGCTACAGTTAACTGAGGTTTGTCTTGCTTAGTGTACCGATTTCCAAGGATGGTGCAGACTGCCTGCAGCATGTCTTCAGCATTGTAGTGGTCTTTTGCAGCTGCCGAAGTGTCCCCACAGTGATGGCAAAGTGTCCAAAGCACCGAGGTTCCCATGAAGACAGTCTGGCCAGTTGCAGTAGAGGGCTGCTTAGCCAACAGACACCCATTCAAGGCTACCAGCATAAGAGAAGGGGCTCTGATAGTTTTAGTCATTCACAGAAAGCATTTAAAGGAGGTTTACAATAAAGAATTTAAGAAGGCTCAACACAGAGCTAACAATTCTAATAGCCTTTAACAATACTTACTAGTGTTCAGCAATGCTTAATAGTGTTTAACTTTTGCCCCAGTACCCCAGGGTTCCTCTGATCTATATCACTTGGGCCATATGTCCCAGATACAATGGTGCTTGAAGTGTCAGTGGCAAACAGGGATGCTGTTTGGATACTTTGACAAGCCCCTGTGGGTAAATCACAGTTCAGGCTCTTAAGATTTTGTGGAAAAGCCTTGCTATCCTCCACAATCACTTTACTTTTGAGAACCAGCTCTCAGCCTGCTACTGAACCATAGCAGAGTCTTAATTATTAACTATAGGCCACCAAGTTATCATATGACCTAGGCTGACGAGCTGAGTGTTATCTAAGCCATCAAGTCATAAAGTTAAACATGCACAGAGGCACTCACCATCCAGTGGAAGTGGTACATACATGATGAGCCTGAGCAGGTGTTGTGGGCACAAGTAAGTTACATAAAGAAGTGGCCAGTGCACCTGTGAAAGCAAAGCCCAGTAGAAGGGACAGGCCTTCCCCGCATCTGCCTTGCAGGACCTGGAACTGGTTGGGTGTGACCAAATAACCAAATCAGTCCTTTGTATGGCTTTCTGCAACCTCCCTCCTTGGGGTGGAACCAGGACCTTGCTGACACCCACACTTGGTTGCAGGCAGTGGCCTCTGGTCCTATGGCTAGCTCCCCCCACCCAAAAAAAAAAGAAGTGGCCAGTGGGTTACAAAATTTCAGTTAGATAAGAGGAATAAATTCAGGAGATGTACTGAACAACATAGGGACTATAATTAATGATACATTGTACTCTTGAAAAATGCCAGGGGAGTGAATATGAAGTGTTCTCACCACAAAGGGATAACTATGTGAGGTCATGCATACGTTAGTTAGCTAGATAGAGTCATTCAACAATGTGTATGTACTTTAAAATAATATGTTATGCATGGCAAATATGTATAATTTTATTTGTTAGTTAAAAGTAAATTAAAAGAAAAGAAAGCTTAAGGAAAGACCCCTTTCTGGCATCACTCCAACCTCTTGCCTCTGTTGTCATACCTCTCTTGTGTGGTAGAATCTTCCTCTATCTCTATCCTATAGGATACATATGATTGCCTTTAGAGCTCACCCAGATGACCACAGAAAATCCCTCTATCTCAAAATCATTACTTTCATCACATCTTTGAAAATATTTGCAATAGAAGATAATATTTACGGGTCCAAGTGGTTAAAATCTAATATCTATGGAGACCAAAATTCACCTTACTACAGAGAAGAAAAGGTTGGGGTTTGGGATGAAAACAGACTTGAGTGTGAGTTCCAGTCTGACATATTCAGGTCAGTAACCTTGGGAAAATATTTATTTTTACTTTGTATTCATGTCATTCTTTATGAAATGAAGAAAATAATATCTTGTGATTATTTTAGTGATGGTTAAATGAGAAAATCTATCTAAACATGCCCAACACATAGTTTAAAAAAAAAAAAAGATAGTCAATACTTATAAGTTCTCCTTTTCTTTCTTGTCATACTTTCTTTCCTTCTCTTACTTTTTTTTCCTTTACCCACAATTTTCCTTTGTTACTCCCCTATTTTTTCTCTATCTTGTCCCTATCCTGTCTTTTAGACAAAATCTCCTTTCCTACCCTAGCATTGTTTGCTCCTACTGTTTTTTGTTATCCAGGTTGTGGTCCAGTGAGTAGACAGACTCAGCTCCGAGAAAGACTGAGAGCTACTACAGACCAGAACCTGGTATAGAACCCTTAGCAGTAAGAATCAAATAGGATCTGGGCATGGTAATATACACCTGTAATCCCAGCAGTCAGGAGGTTGGGGTTGGAGGAACATGCATGTTAGAGGCCAGCCTACACTGCACTACGCTACATAGCAGGATCCTGTTTCGAGAAACTAAAACAAAAACCAAGCAAACAAACAAATAGCCCAGAAAAATCAGATGGGAAAAGCCAAAGCTTTCCAGCTTCTGTTAGTTGCCACAATTTAATTTGATAGCTATAGCAACAAAGGCCAATGTTTGTTTTTTAGTGTACATTGTACAAAGATAGAATGGTCTATCTCTCTGCTTTCTGTACCCATTTTGTTCTATGTATGAATTGCAGAAGCTTAAATATTTTGGTATTAAATTTCAAGAGTTTCTGAGTCAATACTCTCATTTCCTGCTCTTCTCAAGTTTAGAGGATAGATTAGATTAGATCACCAAGAGATCTAATCTCAAACTATAAGAAAATATTAAGACTATGAAATGTGAAAGAAAGTAAATACAACTATCCTTTAGTCCCAAATCCCTATCCCCAAGTTAATGGCTGGACTTTGGTCTGCAATGTTGGTGAGATGAGCATATTCTTTCCTTCCAGGGAAGAGTAAGTCTGAGTCACAGAAACTCTAGGACTGTGCCCTGTGGCGGGCCATCTGGTTCTGTGGCCAAATGAGTTAGCTCTTATGGATGTTGGCAAAATGAGTTAGCTCATATGGCATTTCAGATGCCTATGTTTATGGGACACAGTGGCACCTGGTACATTAAGGTGGGAATAATGGATAAGGGTACTACCTGGGGAAATACATATTCTTCTTTACACATTCTTCCTTTTGTTTCATCAACTACTAGATTTATTTCCTGGAGCAGATGAAGTGGAATGTTTAGCAATGATGACAGACAAGTTCAGGAGAGCTTCCTATCAGGACCTTTTGCTCAATGAACAAGAAATTAGGGCCACGGTCAGCTTGGACCTGAGGTGACCTCAAGGATGAAACATTAGTAGGCACAACCATGAACAAAAATATAAGAAAGAAAACTACAACAAAACATTCTCAATATGTTTGTTAGTGTATTTAAAAAAGTTATGGAGTACAGGTGGCCCGAGCCTGTAACCCCAGCTACTCAAGAGGCAGAGATCAGGAGGGTTACAGTCCCAAACCAGCCCCTGATAGACCACCTGCCTAGTGAATATAAGACCCTGAGTTCAAACTCCAGTACTGTCAAAAAAAAAAAAAGAAAAGAAAAGAAAAAAAGAGAGAAGAAAGCCACAGAAGATTTAAAAAACAACTCTCCTCAAAAGACAAATAAACAAAAAATCAAACTAGATTTGAATTCAAGTGTCCTTATGTTTTCAAATTTTACTCACATTTGCCAAAGTTTAGTCTTTTTTTTTGAAGGTTTGGCTGTTTTTGAACTTAGAACAATAGGAGGTTGGAGAGCCTGAGAATGTGTCATAAGATGGAAGCCTTCTGCATGGCTGCCCCAAAGGCCTTGGGGACTTGCAGGGCTGGATCAGATATCAGTGATCAAACCCTAGATTATAGGTCTTTGAGAAGAGCTCAGAAATCTGTGATAACAAAAAGCTTGTATTCCAAGAGAGTTCATAGGAATTTAACCTGACCTGGACTCCAGTTCCAAGAGGCAGAGAAGGCCTTTTGTGTGAACCTGGAGGAGGTAGGGCAGGTGGAGGGGACTGGATGACAGGAGGCTTAGAATTGAAGAGGAAAACCTCATTATCATTTCAATTAACAGGAGAGTTTCATAAACCTAAGCTGGTATTGAAAATCAAATATATAGGAGCATATGCGAGAGTAAATAGCCAGGGAATATAATTCTATGCCACTTCTATCCAAATGGTTGTTATTTTACTAGAATATCACAATAAATAGATTATGCAGGGCAGAAATTATTATAATAATTTACAGAGGAATAGACTCAAGCCCAGGGCAGTCCCCTGAATCCCTGTTTAAAGCTTGATAACATTCCGCTGGGAGAATGCCTTCTTCATTTGTACTACATATGCATTAAGGACCCCTTCTTCTGGGCAGACTGCTAGGAAAAGCTTTGAAACACTTCAGACTCCACAAGTGGACTTCATAATTAGAAAATAGTGTTCTATTGTCTGTTTTCCAGTGATGAAAACTCGAAGGACTGGACAAAGGATAATCGTATCTGGGGCAATGCTTCTTAAATATTAGTTTGCATACAAACATAATCACTTGGGGATTCTGTTAAAAAGCACATTCTGTCATTAAGACTTTTTTTTTTTTCTTTTATTGTGGTAACGAGGTTTGAACGCAGGGTCTTACACTTACTAGGCTGGTACTCTACCACTTGAGCCACTCTACCAGCCCTAAAAAAAATGGGTCTAATTCAGAGGCAGTGGTTTACTTCCTGGAGATGGAGACATTACACAGGAACTGCCAGTCAAGAGGAGAGGGGAGGGCCTATATCTCAGGTTCCAAAGACGAAAGTCTCCACCTTCACCCAACCCTCACCATCAAAACAAGTGCAGTATGAGTCTCTAGTTCCAGAGAAGCAGGGACGGGGAGGAAGGAAGGAGAGAAAGAAAGAGAAAGGGAGCGATGGTGGGTGTGGGTGAATGCCACTCTGTGATTGGATGGTGTATCTTCAAATTGGTGCCTGCAGAGGGATAAAAAGTCGAGAAGATCCCTGGGAACTTCAGACTTGTCCAGCCCTCCTAATAGGAACCATGATTCAGATCTGGGCCTCTTGTCTTTTCCCTCTGTTCCTGACTGGCTTCGCTCAGGAGACTCTGAAGCCACAAGAGACAAAGGTGAGTGTCCCACAGGGAGTCTAGGCTGATTTTAATACTTGGTGGAGTAACATGGGTCACCAAAGATGAAAGAAGTTCTGTCCTCTCCTGGAAGGATGAGATCTGCCTTCTGGCCCTTCTTCGAAATTTTCTGCCACTCCTGTCTGCTGCAGAGGCTGTCCTGTCTAAATCAGCTGTGTCTTACACTCATCTTCACTATACCTAGTGGTTCTATGAGCTGAATATATGGGCTACTTGGTCTGGGGCAGGGGAAGGGCAGTATTTGAAGGCTGACTTCAATGCATTCCCCTTTGCCCTTTCCTCCTGGTGGAGATTGACAGCCCAGAGTTTGTTCCCTCCATGCTGGTCTGTAACTTGGGGCAGCCCTATGGGGACCAGAGAAACAAGACGTAGAGTTGCATATGGACTGAGAGGGAGGGTGACCTGGTGGTTCTTGGACAGGCTGTTAGATCAGAAATCCAGAGACAGCAGGGAGAGAAACAGGTACTGGAATGTATTCTAGTAATTTCAGGGTCAGGGAAAGAGGGGCTTTTCTTCAAGGAACAGTAAAGTACAGAAATCCAGAACAGAAGTCTACCATGTGAATTTTCGGGGAGGTGATATGGTAAGGTGAAGTAAGAAGGTTTTTTCTTAGATCTTGGTGCTGCTGTGTTCAAACTACCGCGTGTCAGTAGCTACCCCTGTAAACAATGTGTGCATATGTCTTAGAATGTAAGGTGGGGACTGAAGTAGATGGCTGAAACATCAACAGATTTTAACTTTAAAATAGACAAACTCATAGAAAACATCAGGCTTACTTGTGGCCTAAAATCAGGTAGGCGTCTTTCATTGGCCCTTTCTCTCCTCTGTAAAAGGTGAAGAACAATGGCCACCATGTAATACAGGAGTCCCAAACCTGAGCTCATAGAAGAATACTCTGGAGAGCTTGCAGAAGCACAGGTTGCTAGGTCCCACTATTAGAGTTTCTGATGCAGTAGGCCTTAAGGGAGCTCAGGAATTTGTGTTTCTTAAATGTTCCCAGGTTCTCAAGCCTGAGCTTTGACCTCTGTTAATGGGTTTGTGAGCAGTGTAAGATAATGCATAAAAAATGCTCAAAGATTGGCAGCTTATTCACATTCAATGGAATACCAGCTCACTTGAAAGGGCAACCTTTAGGGGCTTTCGGATTTGGTTGAGTGTGAAATTTCTGATGTAGAAAATCGTCTTGTGAATGAAAAGCTACATTCGAGGGTATTCTGACTCTTCAAGCAGACCTAACAAACTAAAGAACTAAAAGCTGGGTAGGAAGGATTGAGTTCTTCAAGTCACAATTTTCTTGGGATCTTTTCATCCTAGTTTATAGGGTAATATCCATGAGAAAACAAACGTCAGAAGTTGTTGAGCCCAGAGCTCCTTGTCTTACTAGGAGACAAGGTGAATGGAGACACACAATCGACAGCTCACAGGGTGATTTTCATGAGACTTTTTATTACAGTAGAAAGAAAGACAAATACTAGAGATTATTTAGCAGAGAGATAAGGTGGTAGGAAGCAAATAAAATGAAGGCATATTGATGATAACCCATCATAGTAAATCTTTTAGGCTAATGTTTCCAAAGATTTGCATTAACATATTGCACAATTATGTACAATGTGCAATGTGTATATATGGATACAGAGGGAAGGGGCCTGCTTTAAAACAAACCTCCAGTGAAAGAGAAGCTATTTCCTGGTGTTCTGGTGCCCAAACTTGCAAAAGATGATAATGACCTTCTTGCCCCACTCTGCCCACTATATACAGCTCACCCATAGGAAATTCTTTTCTGGAATGGGGTATACTTTATGGACTGTGATCTGTTGAAACTATTAAAATTCTGACTTCTCTCCATATTGCTAGGAACCTGGCCTCTCTTACAGATAACATCTTAGTTTTTTTTTATTTCAGGTCCTTTTCTCTTGGCATGCTTGTGGGTAGAAAGCTTTACTTCTCTAGGCTCTCTGTTTTATAAGCCCTAATTCATAAGCAAGCTAGGCTATTTCTTCACAATATGGGGATGAGAAGAAGGAGATGCTGAGGATGAGTTTTGTAGGTCCCAGCGAGCATCTCTTTGGCAAAGCCCAGAAAGGCCCTTCAATGGAATCAGAGGAGGAACAAGAGCCAGGTTTGTGGAGGATGAATTACAGTATAAGAACATGCAGATGGTGAATTCATACATAATTTATTTATGCTATCAGAAAATATTTTAAAATCTGTTGAGAATATCTAAAGAGAGATTAGGTGATTGGAAAAGGAGGGGTTAGGATGTAAGGAGAGTGCAAGCAATGTTGGAGGAAGAGTAACTTGTATTAATCTTCCAGGAATGGGAAATGCTTGTCCTGCCACACAGAGAAAAATTGGATTGTAAAATAGAAGATATAAATTCATACATCTATAATCCCAGCAGTCAAGGGCTTCTGCAGGAATATCATGAGCTCTAGGCCAGCCCTACATTGTGAGACCCTCTCTCAAAAAAAAAAAAAGTCTCTTCAGTTCTTAGAATTTCAAGATATTACGTGGAGAGTCTTAAGAGTTAAAAGTTATTGTTTAATCATATCATTATAGTTACTTTTATTATATTCCAGGTGGATTGCAACAAAACAGTGACAGACACCATCTATGAGTATGGAGCTGTCACCCTCAATGACAAGAAGTATATTCAGTTCAAGCAGTACGCAGGCAAGCATGTCCTCTTTGTCAACGTGGCCAGCTATTGTGATCTGACAGCTCAGTATCCTGGTAAGAACTCAAGTTTCAACTCTTTCAGAACTAGCTTTGCTGATAGGAATAGACCTTGGCCGAACAAGTTGAATTTCTTGCTCCATACCCCAAGAGAAAACTATTCTGGGGAACCACAGAGTATCTCAGAAAGTGTTAGAAAGGATTTATTATAGAATCTGAGCTTGGATTAGGTGACTGGGGACCGGTTCCAGGAACTGAGATTTTGCCCTGGATTAGATACTGTCAGGAAACAAAATGGGGACAATTATGTGATTGGGTGTTATTATGCTTTTAAAAAATATCCAAGATAAATTCAAAAGGTTTTTGTGCCAAATGTCACAGAGAAATGGACCAAAAATGATACATTAGCAAGATTTTAGAAAAAAAATCCATATATTGACATTGCTGTTTATTTACAACTAAACAAAACATCAGGTTCTGTCAATTAGTCTTAGTGGAGCTTCAATAATAACAAATCCCAGAATTTTCTCCTATTGAAATACCACTTAAATTTAAGCATATTTCAATCTCTCTTCTAAGATACAAGGTTCACCAATTTATGGCCTTTTTTTTGTGTGTGTGTGGTACTGGAGTTTGAACTCTTGGCCTACTTGCTAGGCAGGTGCTCTACCATGTTAGCCATCCTCCTAGCCCTTTTTGCTTTGGTTATTTTTGAGAAAGGGCCTCATATTTTTGTCTGGACTGGCATGGACCTCAATTTTTCTACTTACGCTTCTCATGTAGCTTTGATGACAGGCACAGCCCCCACACCCAGCTTTTTTTGTTGAGATGGGGATCTTGATAACTTTTTACCCAGTCTAGCCTTGAACTGTAAGTTTCTGATCTCTACCTCCTGAGTAGCTGGGATTACAGATGGGACCCAGCACACCAAATTTGGACATTTTTAAAATTAACATTCAAAGTGCTTCATTTAGGCAAAAGCTATTTTAAAATACTACCTCCTCAAAGTACAACCAAAACAAGTGGTTCACATTTACTAAGTGAAGACAAAGACATTTTTCAATTTAATGGTGAAATTATGTATAAAAAGACACTCTCAAATGTACAGATTAGGGCAAGTCATTTAAAAGAATTTTGGAATATTTTTATGTTTTTATGTACAATGAACTTTAAGGAAAACCTGAAAAGCTACAGTTGAATTTTTAGAAAATCTTAAGACCTAATTATAAGAGCTCAACAAATAGTTTTGTATGCTTTAGCAAGTAGGAATTTTCCTTTCTTCAAAAATTTAAATTTGAAAAATATGGTAGATATAAAAAGTTATTTTAATCAAACCCCATTACCATCAAAAAAAGTTGTTCTAAATTACTTGTTAATTTGAATTTATGTGTTGAATGGGTAATACATAAACGATATTCAAAGATACAAAATTTTGTTTAATAGGAATCCTGTCCGTGTTCCCTTTCTTTTAGATAACTGATGCCATCAGTTTATGATATATATTTCCAGAAATCCTTTTGCTTATGTAAGGAAATATTTCTCTCTCTGTCTCTCTCTCTCTCTCTCTCACACACACACACACACACACACACACATATTTAGGAAGAGACTTTTAGCAAGTAGAACTGAATCTGAATGAAACTGACTAGGGTTGGTTCTGGGAACTGAATAACTCTCAACTGGAAATGGCTGTAGATGGAAATACTAGCTCAAGTCTAAACACACAAGTTAGAGGTTTCCTGACGGTGGTAGAAAATAGTTTGGAGATTGTAGACTGGGATCCTATTGTGTGTTCCAGGGAAATGGCATCAGCTCTGTTTCCCTACACCACTCCTAAGGTGCAACACCAAAGGGTGCTGCTGGGAATATGAGTAGATTGTCAGTTGTCATGGGACATAGGCGGAATGAAGGGGGTATGTTCATTTTATTTGCTTTTTCCTTTAAGAACATTTGATCAGTTGATTCACTAACTAATGAAGGCAAAGGCATTCAAGTCTGGCTTCTATTTTGAATCAAACAGGATTGGCCACAAGACTAATCAGTCTGTGTTTGTTTGTTTTCAAAAAGAGCCCCCATTGTAAGATGAAGTGTAGCCAGTTATGGAAAACACTGCACAACAAAACAAGCAGCCATTTGGATGAGTTTCTGGAGACCTGGGTTACAGTTTTTGCTCTGCCTGCTTGATCCACCTGCTCTGTAATCTTGAACCTTTCCTGTCACAGTCCTCAGTTAATTCATGTGATAAGTGGTTAAATCCAGTGGTCTTTCACTGCTTGAAGCCCAGCCTCTGACCAGGTTTCTCATGTCATTCATTCTCTATAGAACTGAATGCTCTGCAGGAAGACCTTCAGCATTTCAATGTCATCATATTGGGCTTTCCCTGTAACCAGTTTGGAAAACAAGAACCAGGAAAGAACTCAGAGATCCTCTCTGGGCTCAAGTGAGTGTATGCAGGGGATGCTGCAGAGGCTGTCATGATTCCCTTTCTTCATTCTACCTAAGGCCCTCCCAGTCTGGAAATTTCTAAGTTTGGTGAGAGATCAACCAGTTGAAGAATAGCACCAAGAAGCTTTGAATTCAATCTAGCCCTGTTGATGTACTCAAACATTCTCTCTACTTTTGGGTTCTTTGATGGTGAAAGTTAGGGAAGATCTAATGGAAAAGAAGTTCATGGGAAAAAAGGGAGTACAGGAAATGTAAATGAACCAGGAAGTCTAAGCTGAACATATTGACTTCTGTTTTTTTGGAATTCTCTACTGGCTCCATGAACCTATTGCTTGAAGTGCTGATTCCTCACCTTCTCTGTCTATACCTCTCCTTCTTTATCTCTAATCCTTCTTTATCTCTAATTTCTTTTTGTTAAGAATCATTGGTGGCCATTACTATCCCCCCTTGACTTAATTCATATCCTCTTGGGAACACTCTGGTTCACTGCAGGTATGTGCGTCCAGGTGGTGGCTTTGTTCCTAATTTCCAGCTCTTCGAGAAAGGGGATGTGAATGGAGAAAATGAACAGAAGGTCTTTACCTTCCTGAAGGTGAGTGAACATAACCTTGTATGGATTGGCCAAGTAGAGATGTCCGAAGAACAGTGGAGCTAGTGTCTAGAATTGGGGTTAGGGGCTGGTGGAGTGGCTCAAGCCATAAGAACACTGCAAGTATGAGGCCCTGAGTTCAAACCCCAGTGCCACCAAATAATAATAACAATAATATAACATTGTCTGCCTAGAATTGGGATTGGACTCGAAAGAGATGCTTAGATAAATTCAAGGATTGTGGCAAGTAGTTAATTTCAGCTACTGGGAAGCAAAGGCTGGTCCTGGGCAAAAGGCTAGACCATACCTAAAAAAGAGAGAAAAAGGGCTGGAGTTGTGACTTAAGTGGTAGAAGCATGAGGCCCTGAGTTCAAGCTGCAGTACTGCCAAAAAAAATTTTTATTATGACACTTGGTTTTAAGTAGAGGAAACACATGTGACAGCTCCAACATGGATAATCTCCCCTACTTAATGGTAATGATTTAGTCATTCAACAGTCATATATTAAATCCCTAGTTTGTGCAAATGTTGTACTATATGAGTTAATAAGTATTCATAGGACATAGTCTCTTCCCTGAAATGACTAGTACAGACACAGATAAGGTAGTGTATCAAGGTAAATGATTTTAGAGTCACAGAATATTGGAACCACAGAACACCAAGATAAAAGGACCCCCAAGGATCCCATATTCTACTTTTCCCCAAACACTGGTCTGCAGAACAAAACTGGACATTGTGATATTTTTATCAATCTACAGAAAACTAGAGAGAAAAAAACACAATATGGAGAGTTTCTCCTGAGGCTCATAACATTGAATATTAAAAAAATTATTCTGATAATAAATTATTAAGTTACACCATATAAACTGCCCTTTTGTTCTAAAACATTCATATCATCAGTTTGAAGCAACTAAAATGAATGTTTATAAATCCCTTAATTTTTGAATTTATGTTTATTATGGATTTTGAATTTTTTCTTATTGTCAAAATGAATATCAATTAGTCAACATTAGTCTCTGAAGAACAGCTATTTGACTGGCCTGTGATGCCCAAACTCTGGGAACTACTACTTAAAACCAACCTATTATTTTCAACTGAAACTACAAAGATATGACTTGGCCAAAGAAACAGAAGACATTCTTTTTCTGAAGCACTATGATAAACATGAGAATGGAGGCAAGACAGGGAAAGAGGGAAATCTATTATTATACTCTCTGACTCTTGGTGAGACTGGTAGTTAATGTAATGGTGATGATACACTGAAATATCTGAGAATGTGTGTAAGCATGTTAAATAATTAAGATATTAAGATACATGGTGAGTAGACTTCTAGAAGTGAGGAGAAGACTAGATAATACAGAAGCAGACATAAAATTATCTTTCCATTTTCCATATCTCTGTCCCAGAACTCCTGCCCCCCAACCTCTGAACTTTTAGGCTCATCAAAACATCTCTTCTGGGAGCCCTTCAAGGTCCATGACATCCGCTGGAACTTTGAGAAGTTCCTGGTGGGGACTGATGGAGTCCCTGTCATGCGCTGGTTCCACAAGATTCCAGTCAACACAGTCAAGTTGGACATCCTAGAGTACCTAAAGCAGTATGATACCCAGTAGAAAGAGCAAGCCACTGGCAGAAGAAGCCACCCACCTGAAGGACATGTCTAACAAAGAATGCATCTTTGCTCCACACTCTTCTTACCCAGCTTCCATGTGACCAAATCATCCAGTCCCATCTATACAGCTGCTTATGCATGTGTGTAGCTGTGTGTGTGAACATGTGTTTAGCAGTTTGTTTGTGTGATATGTACATATGTTGTGTGCCTATCCACCCAAATCTTTAATTCTGAAATATCAAGTTTTTCCAAGTATTTTATGAAATATCAATCTATATTGATATTTTAGAATAGATGATTCAAGTTATTCCATGTCTCTTAAAAAAAAAAAGTAATCCCTGGAAGTTCTTTTATCTATCATTCTCTGTCTTGATGGTTAAAAGAAAATAGGAACTGGCAGAAAGACTAATTGGTTCCTTTTCCAACCTCCCCAGCTTCAAGCTGGGCAAGCATTGTTATGCTCTTTTTCTCTCTACATAGTCCTTCTTTATTGTCCTCCCACCTGTAGTTCTTACAGGATTCTGAAGGCAAAGTGAGAACAGAAACGTCATGTCATGTGAAGCAAGAGGCATTTCCATGATGGTGGGTCTCAAAGCCCCCTGGGTCAGACCCTTGCCTGAGCTTCTTTGGTACAGTCCCTTTTTGCATTCAAGTCATGGCACCTGAGCAAGGATGTCTCTTCATTCTGAATGATAGGCTTTTTCTTCACCCTGAGTTTCCCCACCTTTAAATTCATTCTTATCACTGTCTCAAATTAAAAAAATTTCTGCAGCAACCAGGCTTCGTGTGTGTTATCCCTATCCAGTATTGTGTCTACAATCACACCTCTTCTTCCTCTTTCTCCTTGTCTGTGCTTTTTTGACCTCCTTACTCGCTCTTTAGCATTTTGTCTTTTTCACAAGTACTCCAGAGTGGTCCTCGGCATATCCACATCCAAAAGCACCAGGTGTTACTGCAGATAGAGAACTGCTGGGTCCTCAACAGACCTTTTAGAGTCATGAGCCTCTATACCTCCATTCATGTCTTTTGGCAAGCCCCTTCATGAGAGAATTTCTTTCTCTCAACAATAAATACAATTTTGTTTATAAAATTAATTTGTGCTCACTATTAAAATCTGAAAGCACATAAGAATAGAAGAGCATAACAACAACAAAACTGCTCCTAATCAGAGGAGCAAAAGACCTGCTGGGAAGCCCTATCGATACCGATCAGCTTGCTGGGTCCTTCTGCTCTACTCACGTGGAAATCAGAAGATTTCCAAGGCAAGCAACAGCTCTTCTAGTGTTGGTAGTCGTGGATCCTTGAGTGGCTAAGACTTGTGGATTGGACTGAGACTCAGAAGCTTATAGCTCCAAGCCCTGAGAACTACAGATTTATGGCTCTAAGTCTTAGAAATCAGAGACTTATGGCTCTACGTGCTCAGGTTGGAGACTTATTTGTCTGGGCTTTGATTGCCAGTGGCTTGGCAGTCAGCAGCTAGTGTAATCCTTAGTTCTTAGCAGCAGCCAATGTTGGCAGCAGTCAGCAACAGCTAATGTTACAGCTCCCAAGCCTTGGATGTTAGACCTTTGGCTCCTAACAGCAGCTCCCATTACAGCTCTTAATCTTCATTGTCAGGACTGTTGTCCCTTGAGATTTGGTAGCTCCATACAACTCTTTTATTATTGAGGTACTGGAGCTTGAACTCGGGGCCTCCACCTTGAGCCACTCCACCAGCCCTTTTTGTGAAGGTTGTTTTCAAAAAAGGGTCTCTTGAAACTATTTGCCCAGGGTGGCTTCAAGCTGCAATCCTCTTGATCTCTGCCTCCTTAGTAGCTAGGATTACAGGCGTGAGCCAGGTGTCTGGCCTCCCTACAACTCTTTCCAGCAATTAGGGCTCACAGTCCCTCATCTTTGGCTCTTCATTGCCTTCCATCTTCTATGATCTTGGCTGTCTGCTTTCTCTATGTGTCCACCATGCTTTGTCGTCTCCACTCTCTCTGTTTCTGGGGCTCTCTGGAACGATTCACCTGCCTTCTCCCTGTGGCCTGCTACTTCACTACTGCTTCCTGCTGCTGTCTCTTCTCTGTGTTACCAGCCTACCTGGCTCCACCCATTTGCTCACAAGTGGGCAAGAAAAGACCACCTAGGAGAAGCCTTTTATTTGACTTAATGTTGCAATACTACAGAGCAGATCAGAAGTGAGTTTCCCAGCTGACTGGAAAAGTGAGCTGAATAGCCTGGATAGTCAGAAGATTGTGTGTGGCATGGGTCTGACATGCAAACATGGAATTGTAATTTGCACCCATCACAACACAGCTTCCAGGTCCAACAATCACAAGCCTTACATAAAGGTGAAGGTGGAGGCATGGCTCAAGCGGTAGAGTACTTGTCTAGCAAGCACAAGGCCCTGAGTTCAACCAAAAAATAAAAAAGAAAAGAAAAGAAAGAAAAAGAAAGGAGTTAAGACCAATCACAGGCCCCACATTGCACCAATCCAAGCTTTCTGTTGAATCACTCTGATAAGTTCTCTCCCCCAGAACCCCTCAGGATGAGCAGTGTTATCTAGAGTTCACTGAGGTTTTTGAAGGCTAAAACCAAACGAAAGATGTCTGAAGCAGTCGAGGCTGGAGCAGGGCCTTCTGGAGAGGAAATTGTGGCTTCAGTTGCCATGCTCCTTACAGCTGAAGTACACTTTCCTCAAGGCATTTGTGGAGTATTCAAAGCAGCTGGGTTGCTATAGTCTGGCCAGTTGCCAAAAGAGAAGCTACTTTGTTGATAGCTTTCCATCCAAGGTGGCTGGGCACAAGAAAGGGTCTGACAATTGTGAAAACATCAGGCCTGCAACAACTTAGCTTATTTAAATATAAGTAAACATTAGAAGGGTGCTTACTAAAAAGACCTATAATTAAGTGGTAGAACACTTGCCTTAGGTGGGTACTGGTGGCTCACATCTGTAATCCTAGCTACTCAGGAGGCAGGAAATCAGAAGGATTGCGGTTTGAAGCCAGCCTGGGCAAACAGTTCGAGAGACCCTACCTGGAAAATATCTAACACACACAAAAAATGGGCTGGTGGAATGGTTCAAGATATAGGCTCTGAGCTCAAACCCCCAGTACTGAAAGAAAAAAAAAACAAAGAAGAACCTTGCCTAGCAAGTGCAAGGCACTGAGTTCAAGCCTCAATACCATCAATTAATAAATAAATTCCTATCGTTAACATTATTAACAGTATTTAACAGTGCTTAACTCAGGCTGGGGCCTGGCTCAAGTGGTAGATTGCTTGCCTAGCAAGCATGAGGCCCTGAGTTCAAACTCTAGTACCATCAAAAAAAAAAATCAGGAAATATAAATATCAGTGAGTAGTGCCAAACATTTTGGAATCATAATCCTGCTGTATACCCAAACAGAAATGTGATCCCTGGCTTGATATTTATGTAAGAACACGATAATTAACAAACTAAACCAGAAATGATCCGGAAAATTATCCTTAAGACCTTAAAATTTGTAAGGTAGACACACATGGGAAATAGAAAATATTTGGTTGTTTCATCTTTTTGAACTCAAAATCTAGTAAAGAAAATTGGATTTGAAAAATAATCTGGCCATCCTTGACCATAAACTATAAGATTTGAGACTTCTGCAAATCTCTTACATTACAGAGTCAAGTGGTATTGAGAAATCTGTGTTTCAGTTTTGTGTTTCTTCTCAATCTCTGAAATCCTTAAGAACACCTGGGGTCCTTAACAGTTCTCAGCAGGATTCCAGATGTGTCTTTATTTTCAGATTAGAATAAGCAAGGTTCAGAAAGTGAACAGAGGATGGAATGACACAATATGTTAAATTTTCTCCAGATACTGGTTTTGTAAAACCAGGAATTTGTAGTTGCTGTACAAAAGTAAATGCAACCTAAAGTAATGAAAGAACAGGACTGCAGCTTTCAGCCTGAGTATCTGCCAGGAGTCTCAATCCTACTGCTGCTCTGACAAATCTAGATTCCCTACTTCTGAGGCCCTCCAGTGGCTGTCTCTGATGAGAAAATAAATGTTCTGAGGAGAGCCAAAGCTAGGGAAAACAGAGACAAATTTCCTTGTAGGACATGAGCCTAGGTGAGGGACAGCAGTCCAGATGATGATGACAACAACAATACTAATGCCAAAGTCTTTTTAAAGAGACGATCAAGAGAAAAATTTTCACTTTTCTCCTCAACCAATACCTATACCAGATCTTGATCCCTAAGGAAAGTTACAAACAGAAACTTCTGGGAAGGGGTAGACTGCCCAGGATTGTCTCAGGAGCTCCATATTATAGTAGTTAAAACTTACTATTACAGTCCTAACTGTTATCATCATCACCACAGACACAGTTATGAGCTATGGAATTTTTCCTTCAAACTAGAAGTTCCCACAACCTATCATGCAAATCTGGAAAGCTGTAACTACCCCACAACCAACCTGCCAGGCACCTAAAATTACTCTGTTGATCACAAGCTCTTTGGGGAGGGGCCCCAAGTAGGTCAGAAGGATGACAGAGTCTCAGAGAATCAGGGCTCAGACCCCCTACAATCATCTTATTTCAATGATCAAGGACACAAAACTAATTGAGAGATTGGTCTCAGCAGAAAAAGAATCTATGAAGCAAAGGAGGGCAGGAGAAAGAGAAGTAAGAATGTGATTTCTACTGGAAGGGGACACAAAAATCATATGTGGACACAAAAATTATATGTGGCTGTAAAGCTGATGTGGTAGGTAAGGTGGGGAAGGGAAGGAGTAAAGGAATGAAGACAGTCTGCTTTCACATTTTTTCAAGTTTGGGACTTCTAAAATGTTGCCTTTTTTTTTTTTAATCTATTTGGAGTCCAAATCTTGGCCAAAGATGAAAATGAAGGGGAAATATATAAAAAACATGTTTTTTCTTTTAACTGAAACTTAATTGCCCTTAATTTGTAATGTTAAAGACAAATTCTTTCCTGAACATGTCTTCCAAAACATCAGCTCCTAGGTGAAGTACTGTAGCACAAGGT